AAGGTTAGCAGTTCAAACTCACCAGTAACTCCTCAGAAATCCTATACTGGGTCACAACTCGACAACATTTAACAACAACAACAAAGAAAGAGCTTACCATACAGCAAGTGCTTCCCTTGTTGTTGTTTTTATTATTGGTGTTAAATGCTAGGGACTCCCAAATTAGTGTTGTCAATGGCCAAGAGCTGCAAATGGATTCCAGGGTTTTTCTCAACATTATTTGCATGAAAGTTGACCCATATTATCTATTACTGTGAAAGACAGGTATTATCATCCTTATTCCACAGAAAAGGAAAGGGAAAGTTAGACAAATGTGGGGTATGTTTGTTTAACGTCTGCATGAGATAGCACCAGCAAAGCTAAAGTGTTTGATGTTGTTATTGTTGAGTGCCTTCAAATCAGTTCTGACCCATAATGACCTTGTATAGTGTTTCCTAGGAGCAGCTGGTGAACTTGAACTATCAACCTTGCAGTCCAGTGCATCAACCCACAGCACCACATCAGGACTCCAAAATTTTTGATACAGGGATGCAAAGTAACATTATATTCAAATACTATAGGTAGCTGAGATTCAAAAACAGGCTTCATCATGTGCAAATGGTGCAAACTGGGAGAGTTACCCATCACAGTTTCACTTTATTCATTTATACGTTAATCATTTGTTCCAATGTCACTGACAAATGTTTATGACGGGAATACACAAGTGTCCACTAGTTGTCAAAGTGCTGTGATAGGTGCTGAAATAGTGTTGTAGTTAAGTGCCGTTGACTCAATTCTGACTCATAGGGACCCTGTCTAGGGTTTCTGAGGAGTGGCTGATGGGTATGAACTGCCAGCTTTATGGTTGGCAGTCCAGTGTTTATCCTACAGCACCACACTGGACCTCCATTCTGAAATATAGTAGAGTGATAACAGAAAACAAGCAAACAGTGGGTGGTGCCTCCTAAGGACTTCACAGGCTTTACTACTACTACTAAACAAAATCAGTGGCTGTCAAGTCACTTCGGACTCCTGGTGGTCCCACGCGCATTAAAACAGAACCGTGCTGCCCGCTCCCCCTAGGGGTTTCAATGGCCAACGGATCATAGGAGAGATGACTAGGGTTTTCTTCTGAGGCCTTCCTGAGTGGAATTGAATTTCTAACCTACAGGTAGGCAACAAACATGCGAACTGTTTGCTCTGCCCAGAGAAGCCCCTCCCCGTTACCACCACTATTAAGGCTGCTTTCATATCACTAGGGGCATCAACTGGGTTTCTCCAAGGCATCTCCATTAACCAGCTTGCATATGCATTTCTCCTGTCCATAGCACTCTGTGAAAGAAGCTCTGGTAGCGTAGAGGTTACAAATCGGGCTGCGAACTGCAAGGTCAGCAGTTCGAAACTACCAGCTGTTCCTCAGGAGAAAGATGAGGTGTTCTGCTCCTGTAAAGATTTACAGCCTTAGAAACCCTGTACAGGGCCATTATGAGCCGGAACCGACTCCACGGCACACAGCCACCAGCCACCATAGCACTCTGTGAAGGCATTATTTTCATCTGCTTACTATACGGAGCTGTAGCCAAAAGAAGAACTGGGTAGGCTCTGAGATTGAATGTAAACCGGGAGCTTTTTAAACCAAAGTTTTTAAAACAGATGCCAGTTCATACCCGGATGGTATTTTCCTACTGGTCTATGAGAAATGAACAGTACACCATCTCTTTCTTTGTGTTCCATTGAGACCCCCACATTTTTGTTTTAAGACCAGGTTACTACACATTTATGTGGTATCAAGTGTCCAAGCACAGGACATCACCAACAGCTGGCAAATACTGGCTGAACCCACAGAGCATGAAGCAGCTGAACAGGAAATGCACCCTTTTGTATTTCAAATATTTTTGCCATGACAATTTGAGCAAACACTGAGCAAGTACAACGCAGATACATTTATATCTCAGCCAGAACTAGACAACGTGTCTACCAGACCCAGACAGGGATAAAAGCAGGCGTAAACCGAGGCTCTACACAGGCACAACACATCAATCTGGGAGACAATTTGAACACAGGGTACGGTTTTATACATTAACTCTAGCAAGGCAATGCTTACTTACAGCATGTCTTCCTCATTCTCATCTGAAATCCTGAAGACCCCTGACTACTTCTGAGTTGCTTTGGTTGGAATATGAAAGGACTCTTTAACAGAGGCATAAGCTATATTTTAACTCAAATTTTTTACTTTAAAATGAGACATAGACACAATCTCATTTCCTTTTGTGGTTTCAAACTTGACAGAGGTTTGCCGGAAATAACAAATTCAAGAACTAGTAACTTGTCTATACTTGTTCGAGCTATATCCTGGCACCTCAAGTATGAAAGCCCACAACTCTACTCTCACCAAAGAAATGGGAGGTAAGTATGCGTTAGCTTTAACCATTGCTGTAGTTGTTAGTGCTCTCGAGTCAGTTTGACTCATAGTGATCCTGTATAGGGTTCCCGAGGCACAGCTGGTGAGTTTGAACTGCCAGCCTCATGATTTAAACCAACCTTGCGGCCCAGTGCATTATCCTGTTGCACCACACCAGGACTCACATATCAAGTTTCTAGACACACTGACTACTCACTCTGCTTCCTCTTTTTTATTTTCTACTCCACTTACAGGTGTAAGATTTCTCTTCACAGCTAATCATATGACTGACAACTGCTTTCGAAAGGCATTTTCAGTCCGATGCCTAGGTATAGCCATATCTGGTGAGCAGTTTTACAACAAAAGAACTTCCAATTTAACCATTAACAAAAGTAGTTCCACCGAAAGTTTTCCAAAAGACAAAATGTCTGATGGGATGATCTGATAACCTTCTAAGCTACTCATTTAGAAGGTCTCAAGTATAAAGACATAAAACAAATGCCCTCAACTCCCGTCCTAATTATTAATGAATACATGACAAAAACATAGCAGTTCTAAGCACCAGAGACATAAAGACACAGTCTGTGCCCTCAAGGAACTTGTTGTCTTAGAATCAGGTCACAAACATTAAAACAAACAAACATAAGAACTATACAGCATCATGTGATGGCAATGAGGCCAACAGGAAATGGGAGTTTGAAGGACTGGGACACTACTGGGGGGTGAACATCTTGAAAATGACATGGCAGTGGTTGTAGGATGTAAATGAAAATGGTTTCGAAAATCGAACAGAAAAAAATCAGTTCAGGCTACAAGAGTTGGGTGACCAAGGTCTTGAGAGAGGCCATTTGAAGGTGGGTTTGGGAAGGTTATGGGAGCCAATATCTAAAGCGCAATCTCTCTGAAGGTCTTCTTTTAGGTTGTTCCTCACCACCTAGGATGTTTCCTCACTGCCTTTTCACCACCCTTGGCCTTCTACTTCCAACTCAAAATCCAATCTGGATTCTCTTTTAAGGTACTGTGTACATAGAAGGAATTCAATAAATGAATAAAGTATGACGAACAATGCCAAACACTCATGTAATTAACATACACCCATTATAAGCCAATCAACAGCAGCAATTAATGTTTCACGTGCAGCCAGCTTCACAGTATTAGCTAAAGTTGCAAGTAGAACAATGGCTTTTCATGTAAAATATGGTTATTGTTGTTCCTAAGTGCCCCTCAGTTCCAACCCATAATATAGGGTTTCAGAGGTGCAGCTGGTGGGCTTGAACTGCTGGCCTTGCAGTTAGCTGAAAGTGCTTATCCTACAGCACCACACCAGAACTCCCTAAAATATAGTTTTGTTATTGTTGTTGTCATGTGCCATCAAGTCGGTCCAACTGACAGTGACCCTGTTTCTGAGGAGTGGATGGTAAGTTTGAACCACCGACCTTGAGTTTCAGTCTGACCACCAACATCTGTTTAGCCAAAATCCACAACTATGACCCACGGCACTGCTTTTTCTTTAAAATTATACCAGTTACTGAAAGGGAGAGCAAGAGAATCCAGTTAGATGCATCCAAAATATAAGTTAAATCTAAAATATAAGGAACTCTGGTAGTGTAGTGGTTATGAGTCAGGCTGCCAACCTCAAGGTCATCAGTTCGAAACTACCAACTGTTCCGTGGGAGAAAGATAGGGTGTTCTGCTCCCATAAAGATTTACAGCCTTGGAAACCCTGTGCAGGGTCACTATGAGTCGGAACCGACTCCACGGTACTTTACAACAACAGCCACAAAACATATATATAAGTGAAAAATATAGCTACTTCAGCAGCACTTTTATATAGCCAAAAGGTGGAGCCAACCCAAACGTCCATCAGCAATGAAGGATAAAATGTGTCATATCCACACAATGGATATTACTTGTCCGTCAATAGAAGTGAAGTAACTCGACTGCTACAACCTGGATGAAGCTTGAAAACATCAGGCTGAGTGAAAAAAACCACAGCAAAAGGTCACAGACGGTAATATTCCATTTATGTGAAACACCCAGCACAGGTAAATCCAGAGAGACAGCAAGCCGACTTCTGGTTTCCAGGGAGAAGGGAGTCAGCAGTGTGTAGAGGGTTTTCTTCGGGGATGGAAATGTTTTGGAACAAGATAGAGGACGAAGTAGTTGCTCAACAACGTGCATCTAAAAAATGCCATTTCACCTTCGACTTTTATGTTATGTGAATGTAACTAACAATTAAAAAATTAATTTGAAAAAAATATAAAGAGCTTCGAAAAGTTCATGGAAAAATTCCATCATCTTATAATTCCATTGTTCCATAACTTTTGAAGCTCACTTGTAGCTATGACTTCATCTGATAAGCACTGCACTGTTAGCCATGAGGTTGATGGTTCAAACCCACCAGCCATTCCACAGAAACCCTATACAGAGTCGCTATGAGTCAGAGCCAATTTGATGTAACTTAGCAACAACATGTCTTAATCTGAGATAGTCTCACAAGGACCACAGGAGTCTTCCTCTGTGTTAACTGAGTTCCAGGATGGCTCTGCCACTTGAGCTTCAGAGCCCTCTCCCCATTCTTCCTCTTTCTGAATGAAAGCCCATCTAGAACCTGTCCTACCTGGTGGAAGAGTTCTTCCCACTGCCGTTGCAGAAGCTCCATGCGCTCGTTCAGGATGCCCGTGTCCTCGGTGCTGATGTACGCAGACAGGGTGTCCTTCAGCAGGGTCAGCTGCGACAAGTCTTCTGTCCAACTGCCCACCATAGTCTCTAGTTCCTAGATTTAAAAGAAAAAAAGCGTTCAATATCTATGGACATCTATCTATAGTAATTTTGGAAGTGTGTCTGGAATCTGAAATCCCCCCACCATACTTTCCATTCTACACTATTTGACACCAAATTTGGGATTAAATTAATTTTCTTCCTATATAACTTGATAAACAAGGTCCTCTGATAGTTTAATGGATTATGAGCTGGGCTGCTGACCACAAGATCAGCAGTACGAACTTACCAGTCTCTCTGCAGGAGAAAGATGAGGGTTTCAGCTCCCATAAAGATTTACAGCCTTGGAAACCCTATACAAGGTCACTATGAGTTGGAACCGACTCGGTGGCACACAATCACCACCACCAACTTGACAATTAGGCCAGTTCCTCTGATAACTACCAGGTTGCTTGCATATTCTTTCTGTCATGTATTTACCATGTAATGTTATCTTTTTGTTCCTGGCATTTCTTAAGTTAATGTTTCATTCCTGTATAGATCTTTATAAACAGACTCCATGAAGTTCAAATAGACAGGGTTAATAAACTAGTTTCAAAAACAGACTCCTTGATTTGACTTTTATCTTCAGATACTATGTGTGATAGATATGTACATATATAGATTCCTGGTGTGGGGCTGTAGGATAAACATTGGACCTCAAATCACAAGGCCAGCAGTTCAAACCCACCAGCTGCTCCTAGGAAACCCTGTACAAGGTCGCTATGAGTTGGATTCAACTCGATGGTACTTAACAACAAAATGAATATGTATAAAATATATGATGCATATATAATACATATTTCTTATCTTTGGTGGGAATGATTTAAGAAAAAAAAATCTGTATGACAATCTTTGAGTGAGTTGACATTTTCTGCAATGTTCTGACAAATGACCAGTTTTGCAATTTGTAGAAAACTCTTGCTTTCTGCCAGCTGTTGGTGTTTTTATCAACACAGAGGATTTCGCATGGCCTTCTTTCTCTTCACACAGAAGACAAGCTTCCAAAGGTCAAGCTCATTAACAGTTTCAGCTGAGGCTAACTTCTCTGGCAATTTAGGCAAACGAGGTTTTAGCCTGAATTTTCCAGGTAATTGCTTTGCTTTGCTGCTGAGGATAGTTTGTGGATAGAGTAGCAGGGAGCTCGAAAGAAATGCATCTTTTAAATTAGCAAGCTCAATAGCAGGGCGTGTTGGTAACTGCCGTGTATTTTGGGAAATGAGGTCCCATGGTAACAGCGTTTGGCTGGGAGCCCAAACAACCCAGGTGAGTTTAATAAGCAGATGATCTGTTTATATTTTTAGGCCTATCACATGACCATACCGATGCAAAGATATCCCTCCTTCTGTACCAATGTTTGTTGTTGTTGTTAAGTGCTGTTGAGTTAGTTCCAGCCCACAGTGACTCTGTATAGGGTTTCCTAGGAGTGGCTGGTGAGTTTGAACCACCGACCTTGAGGTTCAAACTGACCTTTCAGTCCAGTGCATTAGCCCACAGTACCAATGTTTAGTCCCCAGAAAATCTGTCAGAATCAGGGACTACAGCACCAATGAAAAACAGCAGTGTCTTTCAGCACCTGCAGGTGAAACCAGGTGATTTGAAAAGTCTTTGTGATTGGGTGAGAATGGCGGCTCCGGAACGGGAGCATTTAGATATTCAGAGACTAATTAGCAGAGAACGTTACTATTATAGGTACTACAGACATACACATAAGAGTCCTGGCGTGGTGCTGCGGATTAATGCACTGGGCTACAAGGTCAGCAGTTCAAACTCACCAGCTGCTCCTTGGAAGCTTTATGAGGTTCCGTCGCTATGAGTCAGAACTGACTTGAGGGCACTTAACAACAACAAATAAGCTGGGTTTAAAAAATCTTTTTGAGGTGGTTATAACTAATTACAGGGACATTTATATAAATTTAAAAAATAATAAATTTTTGCTGAAACACTGCACAAAAATTTTACAGAGAATCATTTTGGTTTAGACCATGGCCACCACTGTTCAGTCCACTCTGACTCATGGTGGCCCCATGTGTGTCAGCACAGACTTTCCCATATGGTTTGCAATGGCTGACTTTTTGGAAGCAGAACACAAGATTTTTCTTTCAAAGTGTCTCTGGGTAGATGCAAATCCCTAACCTTTTTGTTAGCAATTAAGGATGTTAATCATTTCTACCATCCAGGGACACAGGAAGAGTCTAATAAATGTCCATTCCTTTCTATCAGAATTTCTATTTAATAGTTTGTCATACATGCATGATCACAGGTTTAATATGAACTCTTTCAATCTCTACATATTTTGAAATATGCCACTTTAAGATACCATTTTTACCTGTTTTGCAAAGTATTAAAAAACAAAACAAACCTATTGTCAATTTAATTCCAACTTCTAGGCCAGAGCAGAGTTGCCTCTTCTGACTTCCAAGGTTGTAATCCTTATAGAGGAGTCCTGGTGTGGCACTCTAGGATAAGCACTGGACTCCTAACCCCAAAGTTGGTGGTTCAAGCCCACCAGTCACTCCTTGAAAACCCTACACAGGGTTGCTATGTGTCTGAACTGACTCGATGACACTTAACAACAGCAATCTTTATAGAAGGAGACGGCCACATCCTTTTCCCCTGGAGTGACTGGTAGGTTTGAACTGCCAACCTTTTGGTTAGCATCCAAGCACTTGACCATTGTGCCACCTGGGTTCCTTGATGTAAAGTATACTACCAATGATTTTTTCCTAATTATTTATCTTGTAAGTTTGAAAGACTGTCCTTTAATATTGAATGGAAAATTCTATGTGTATACTTAGCATAATTTCTGTTGTTTTCAAGTGCAGTTAAGTTGTGACCCCGAATAGGGTATCCAAGCAGCAGCTGGTTTGTTTGAATGGCTGCTGACCTTTATAGGTAAGCAGTCCAGTGCTTAACCTACAGCACCACAAGAGAACTCCTAGATGTCTTTAAAAACCAATCAATTTAAAATGCTGGAAGTAAAGCCATGTTATCTTGGAATTTAAACAGACTGTAGCACCACAGGATCAGGACTTGTCCCCAAGGTCAGTTTGAATGTCAAGATCAATGGTTCCAGCTCACCAGCCGCTCCTCAGGAGTCCTCTATAGGGTCACTGTGAGTCGGAACCATTCCAACAACACTTAACTCTAGAGCATCAATTTGCAAATGATGTGGTTATCAAGAGGCATATATTTGACAAAAGGGCACTTTCTCAAAGGTAGACTTGATATGACCTTGTGCCTATCTCAGCGGCGAACACCTGGTCAGGTACTTCATCTGGCTAACAGGTATGAAAACAGCACGAAATCATGCCACGCTCAGTGACCAGATAACTCAGGGTGAGGTCTGTGTTAGCTATAGGTTTGCGTCCAACTGCAGTTGCATCGGTGTTGATGCTAACCTTCAGTGGTGTGGGCCCTGGGTAACTTAAGTGCATTTCCATGTATAGTCCTGCTTTCCCTACACAAAGGGTGGGAGGTGGGCTGTGTTTCTTCTCGGGCCATTGTTGGCAGACTGTCCAAGCTGCTGCTGACTCTTCTCTGTCTACTAAGTTCTTAGGCGAGAATGACTCTCCCCTGTGGGCGCTTTAAAGCGATTGCTTTTGACCCAGCTTTCAAATATATTTTAATATGTGTTTTAAATTTTCATTTGCTTCCACTGAGAAATTCATAAACTAATCTATATTTCCATCAGCTCAGTAAATCAACATGACATGGTTTTCCTGAAGAGTTATCTGACCTAACGGGACAGACCAGGAGGAACGTGTTTCTACACATAGACAGCTGCAGGAATTTCACTTGGTTATACTCTCAAAGGCATTAACCCCACAGAGGCACAAATGTGTGTGATGATCCACAACTCAACACAATCATTTACCTTGCAACGCATTAGCTCTGCATGTAATTCTTCGTGGTGATCTGGTAAAGGCTGGGAGAGTTTCTTTTTGAACGTTCGTAGTTTCTCCAGAGAATCAGCTATTCCTTTCTCACATTTTTCCCAGTCCTACAATGGGAGCAGAAAGAAATCTCATGACATTTTATTTTATTTTGTTGTGTGGAAAGGGATAGGCATTTGAAAGGAAAAGTAAATGCCCACTGATCCTAATCCCCAGAGAAAGAGTTACAGTTACTCCCATGAATAGTGTTGGGGTGTGTCCACTGGGGACACGGGGTGCTCGCCAGAGGAGCCGAGTTGGAAATGCACTCTGTTGATTAGTAATGTGTGAGGGTTCAAATGATTAGGCTCCGAGTTGCCGTTTTCCTTATACAAATGGAGAGAATACAAACTCTCTATGGTCATTGGAGAATTAAAGGAGAAAATTATATCAAGGCTCCAAACACAAAGCTCAGGATATCATAAGTAATAAATGATGGGGCTTCAAAAAGTTGGTAGAAAAAGGAATGAAAGGATAATGAAAATTTCCTCACAAACTTTTTCAAGCTCCTCCGTAGATACTCAAAAACTTTTTATCTGAATGGTAATCTCTCTGCAGACTTGGGAGTTCAATCATGGTACTTTGTTGTTTTCCTCACCCCTCCATATAACTGCAGGATAAAGCACTAGACTTCAAAGTCGGTTTGAATCACAAGATTGAAAGTTCAAACCCACCAGCTATTCCTTGGAATTCCTATAGAGACTTGCTATGTGTCGCAAATATCTCAACAACACTTAACAATAACAGCTTATAACTGTGGATCTTAATGTGGCACTGTGGGATAAGCACTGGACTGCAAGACACTTTTGAACCACAAGTTTGGCAGTTCAAACTCAGAAGCTGCTCCTCGGAAACCCCATACAGGGTTGCTATGAGTCAACTTAGCAACATCCTGTAACCACATCAATATCAATACTACCTCAAATGCATTGGTCAGAAATATACAAGAGATAAGGAATCACTTTTGGAATATTTTCAGGACGAAAGTAAGTGTGGCTAAGAGCAGTGAGGTAGACTATAAAAATAATACCAGGCTGACTCTCCTTCAGTATCTAAATAGGACGAGCTAGATAGACGTGATTTGTTATAGAAGTAGAAACACACTTACAAAAGGCATGACATTGACCAGTGGCTTGTTTACCTTGGACACATTTCAGGAAAGCCCAATCAGTAGAAAAAGATATCACGTTTCATAAGGTAGTTGTTGTTGTTAAGTAACGTGGAGTCGGTTCCAACTCACACGACCCTGTAGAGGGTTTCCGAGGCTGTACATCTTTACAGGGGCAGAAAGCCTCATCTTTTACACATGGAACAGCTGGTAGTTTCGATTCATAACCACTACGCTAGCAGAGCTCCTTTGGTAAGGTAGATGGTTAACTAAAATGAGGGAAATCTTCATAGCGCAACAATGGATTTAGACACACCAACACTTGTGAAGATGCCTCAGGATTGAGCAGCGTGTCATTTTAATACGGTGTAAGGTCACCCTGAGCTGGAGCTGATGCCGCAAAAACTAGCAACATCTTGACAGGGCTAAAACCTATGCAGGTGCGGTGTTCCAAAACTTCTTGGAAAAAAATGGGATGAAAAGATAATGGGATTTTTCTACAAACCTTTAAAAGCGCCCTCATCTGTAATAAAGGATTAAATGTATACTCCATATAAAACCGTACAAATCAATAAGTGGGAGGCAAGGGATAATGCACAACTCAAGAGATAATGTATCTACTACGCCAAATAGTGGTAAGTACCCTTGACAAAGGACAGAGCAGGCTAAGTGGTTGAGAGTGGCAGTACATTGGAATAGTAACGTGAATGGGGACAATCTCTGTGTACTGACAAAGTAAAAGGGCTAGGATATATGGACGGTGTGGGTTATGTTTTGGAAGTTAACACAACAACTGGGCGACATATCATACTGGTAGCAAAGGTGCTAGCTCAGGAGAAGAGAGTGCGGTTTGTGTGGTGAAGGTGGAATTTAATTTCTTTTATTCCAGATTTCAACTATGACTTGATTTTTTAAAAATCAGACACATACATTCCTTTTGCAATCAAATGGAAGAAAAAAGTTAAAGAAACCTTGGTTCATTATGAAGCCCGATCTAGACAAATGAGCATACATTTGTTGTTTTGGTGTTAGTTGGCATCAGCATCAACAAAATAAGTCTTCTTCTGTCGGGGCCGACATAAAACGCACTTACTGGGAAGCTGAGGCCTTGTGACCTGGACGAAAATCCAAACCCTGGGCCCTCCTTGGTTTGGCGAGCCATGAACCCTGAGGGCCCAGGAAATGACCTCCTGGGGTCCCGGGTTCATTGGTGTTTGTGAACTCACTGGATGGCTACCTCTGTACAAGTCCTAATATTGTTCATTCTATGCTTCTAACTCCAGTAATTGAAGCTTCTGAGAAAATGGTTTTTATAATGCCTCTCTTAATTTCTCCACTGTGTTGGCAGTGCGTAGGGTCCTGGGAACGAATCTTTCTGAGGTACAAGCGCGATAGCCACCTGGGATGAGTGTCAGAACTGCTCCTTATTTGATTATTCAGTTATGTTTAATATTAACTTAGAACATGAGCTCTTGATTATCCATGGACATTAATAAAACCAAATTTCCCCCTAGAACCAAGGCAGCAAAACTTCCTCAGAGGACGAACAAGGACAGGTTTACTGGGATTAAGCAGGGAGGTTCTGGAGAGGAACTGCCCAGGGTATTCACTTGAGGTGGAGTGGTAAATTCTGGGAATACTGGATTAAAGGACAATGGTGGCAACTCCCTCAGACCGCCCTGGGTTTAATCAGTTGGATCCAGATGCTCTTCTTCCCCCTGAAGGTATATGGAAATGTGATGATAGTGAACATTGTAACATTTGGGTGTGGAATCCAGATAGAGGATAAAGAATGTGAAGGTGAGACCTCGCCTTTTTGGAAAGGTTGTGACCCTTCTCTCACCTTCCCTGTAACTGTAGCAAGAAAGAATTACTAGTTTAACAAATAAAGCTAAATGTTTGAAATCCTGTTCAAACGCATATATTTTTTACTTGCAAAGTAGAGAAAAACAGCTTAAATCCCTTCAGAGATTATAAACCAACCTTTATATGAGCTTATAAATCTTTCACCTTTACCCACTAGTGATTAAGTGTTAAAAGTATGTTAGACGTCCTTTAGGCCTAAAGATTAATCTATAATAACTTGTTTGAACCTTTTCCTGTAGAAATAAAAATGTTAGATTGCTAAGAAAATTGTGTTGTACCTAGAAAATATCTTAAAGGTTGTTCCTGTGAATCGTTGTGTCCTGTCCTTTAATTTCTCCTTGAAAAAAGTTAATAAAAGACGGGTAGAGATAGTTCTGTGTGCATTCTTGGCAGCAGGGCTATCTGCCTGTCAGCTTGTATCCACTCTGGTCTCTGAGTGTTTCTTTCTCTCTCGCCCCTCCAGACATCCCACCTAGAGTTAGTTTTGTGTGCAATGTCTGCCACCGAGCAGTCTGTCTGGCAGCTTGCATCAAACATGTGTGTCCGTCTTCTTTGTGTCTGTTTTCTCTCTCTCTCTCTATTGTCGCCAGACACCCCACCTTCATGTACTCACCCCCTTGTCAAGGCCAGACCCCGACATTCTTCATTTTATCTGATTAACTATCATTCCTGTCCTCCTCCTCACCAGTGGCCTGCCCCACCCCACAGTGGCCACTTCCTGACCCCTGAATTACATAGAAGGACAACTGGATTAATGTCTAATAGTTATCAGGGTATCAAAGACTGTTGCATTTTTCTTCATCATGTTTTTCTCATCATCATCAGCCTTTTACTGACTACGGCTTTCATCTACTCCCTTTGCTCCATATTTTTAGTATCTCAAACCACAGGGGTGATGACATTTGTCTTCTGTAAAGAAATACTGTCTAAAGTGTTCTCCCTACTCAAAGTGTCTTGTTTTCTAAAACTAAACTGAGAGTTTGGCCTAAGATTCTTATTTCTGGAAATGATGCTAAAGTACATAATAACTTCACTCATCTACCTTGGATCAAGTCCCCCTATTAAAGCATCCCTGTCTCCCAGGCTGCAGTTAGAAGTCACCAAACAGTACTGAACACTGATGTGGCACTGTAGGATAGGCACTGGAATGGTAACTGCAAGGTCAGCAGTTCAAATCCACCAAGCGATCTCAGAAACCTTATACAAGATCACTGTGAGTTGGAACAACTCGAAGGCACACAACCACAACAATGCTAAGTGGTGGCACTGTGGGTTAGCGTTTGGCTGATTTCATGGCAAAGTCAGTGATTCAAAGCCATCAGTCACCATGCAGGAGAAATGTGGTGGTCCACTCTCATAAACATTTCCAGTCTCGGAGACCCTATATAGGGTCACTATGAGCCAGAATCAACTCAATAGAAGTGGGTGGGTTTAAGCATAGTGTGGGCAGACAAAAAACAAATCATCTTTCTGCTTAAATTTATCAACATTCTTAATGAAATCATTAAATACTCTCAAATCGATCAACATAAAGTCAATGAAATATTCACTGATCTAAAAGAGAAGGGATTCACTTCTAATTTTTCATAATGAAACTAAGAAAACATAGTAAAGCAGCTGAACGTGGAGGGCATAGAATTATATTGACTGTATTCTGGGCACATTTACTCAGATGTTGTTGTTAAGTGCCACTGAGTTGGTTCTGACCCATAGCGACCCTGTATAGGGTTTCTAAGGAGTAGCTGGTGAGCTTGAACCGCTGACCTTGTGGTTCAAATCGACTTTGCAGTACAGTTCATTAACCCACAGCACCAACTCAGACATTAAGGGTTAAAAATAACTAAGTACAAAAGCCGAGGTAGGAAAATACATTAATATGATGCTGAATAGATACTAAAATGCAGCTTCATAAATTTTAGGCAAACAGAATCTAGTTTATGATCTAAAATAAAATACACTTTACCAAGAAAAGAACAGAAATTCCCCCTTCCGAAGATGACTTCGCTTCTGAAGCTTTTACCAAATCTTTTTACTGCATGAATTATAAAAAAATAACTTCACGCTGTGGATGACAAACAGTTACCAAAGTTGATGTTTTACACACCAACAAACAGACATGCAAGCACAATGACTCAGCCTTTATGTCCTATTAAGTTTTGGGAATGTGTCCGAAATCACAAGTCAGATAAAGAGAAATGTATGATTAGCATGTTGTCCACAGAATGAGTTATACAATATACTTCATCATTTCCTGAAAGCAAAGAAGGAAAAAAAAATCAGTGGTATTGTATTACAGATTAATTGTGTGTGCAAATACAAGCTTTTTACAGATGGCAAGGAACACAGTTACTAGGCTTACTTGGGCTTTTATCACTTGGTTGCTACTGGAGTTGATCTGAATTTACAACCTGTAGTCTGTATGAACTGATTTTTTTAAGTATTGAATTTTGTGTAAAATAGGAGAGCAAGAGAAAGCAAATTGTGGGAGGTCTGGATAATCCTGCATTTCCCTAAATGTAGTGAGTGATAGGTATGTAATGTGTACTCAACTAAAGGTTTAAAATCCCTACTGGAGATGTTATCTTACAGCAACCTGTTTGGAAATGTAAGGTCAAATCAGGAGTTATTTTCTTGGATACGTTTCCCTCTGCTATAAAATCTGAGATCTCAATCTTCAAAACCACTTAGATTAGGGATGCAGACTCTACTTTGGAGCCTTGTCTGCATTCATAAAGGCATCAACATGGCTCCAGGCTTAGCGCTGGCCATTAATCAGAATTTAGAAATTGGACGGTTTTAGGAGACTTACGACTACTTTGTGGGGAGAGTTTTCTGGAAGGCAAAACTGCCGACAATAGAGAAACTCTTCCAGTTGAGGCAAGAAAGAGGAAAGTCTTTAGGACACGACCTTTGTGTTATTTGAGTGAGTGTTTGAATGGCAGTGGGAGGAGCCCTGAAACTAAGAGGAGAGCCTTGTAAACTACGGCCCAGGACAGGAGCCTTCTGTGTCTGTAGGAAGAAAGAGCTGAACTCACTTTCAACAAGAAAGCCAGTTGTTTCTTCTGCTCCTCCAGGTGCTTGCTGGCGGACTTCCACTTCTCCTGGATATCCGTGAGTTCGGCCTGCAGGGCGGCCTCAGCCCCACTGTCTGCCGAAAGCAGGAGCTGCTTACCCACCTCCACAGTCAGAATGTAGCTTCCTTGTTGGCGCAGGAACACTTTTTCTTTGAACTGAAAGGAACCAGAACTTTTTACTTTCTCATTCTCTCTTTCACCATTTCCATGTTTTCAGTGTTTGTTTTTTAAAAAACAATCCTAAATTTTAGCATAAGGAAACCTGGTGGTACAATTGTTAAGCATTCAGCTGTTAACCAAAAGTTGGAAAGCTGGAATCCAAGATGCCCTATGGGAACCCAAGGGAGAAAATCTGGCAATCTGCTCCAGGCAAGATTACAGTCTAGAAAACCTTATGGAGCCATTATCCTCTGTCACTTGGAGTCACTGTGAGTTGGAACAGACTCAATGACACCCAACAACAACAGCATTAACACATTTTAGCCAAGCCCCCTTTCACTCAACAAGTATTTCCTGAGCAAGTACTGTGTGCAGGAATGAAGCAGTGTAGAAATGAATGCAAACACAACTGGAGAAGCTTAGATTCTTCCCAGGAGTTAAACGCCATCACAGTGCAATATAATAACTGATTTATTAGATCAACACACAAGGAAATCAGAGAGCTCTCTTGTCTAGGTGGGGTGGGTGACAAGAGGTAGAAGTTTTGTCAAAGTAATAAGGACTGGGTCCTGAAAGACATGACCACAACTGGATTAAGACACACTGAGTGTGATGGCGTTACAAGATGCACTAGTGGGTTAGTGCTGCTGTGGTGATCTAGGATAGGCACTGGACTGCTAAATGCAAGGTTGGTGGTTCAAACACATCAGCTGCTCTCAGAAACCTAACACAGGCTCACTGTAAATTGGAGCTGACTTGTTGTTGTTATGTGCCATCGAGTTGGTTCCGACCCACAGCGACCTTGTATAGGGTTTCCGCGGAGCAGCTGGTGAGTTTGAACCACCAACCTTGCAGTTCAAAGGGCTTTGCAGTCTGGCGCATTAACCCACAGTGCCACACCAGGACTCCTGGAACTGACTTGTTGTTACATGCCGTGGAGTCGATTACAACTCATAGTGACCCTGTACAGGGTTTCCGAGGCTGTAAATCTTTACGGGAGCAGAAAGCCCCATCTTTTTGACTAGACAGCATTTAATAACAACAATCTATTTAACAACTCAACTGCTAACTGAATGGTCAGTGGTTCGAACCTACCAGCCGCTCCACGAGAGGAAGATGTGAGTCTGTTTCTATAAACATTGTTGTTGTTGTTAAATGTATAGGGTTTCTGAGAAGCAGCTGGTAGGTTTGAACTGCTGACCTTGTGGTTTGCAGTCTACTTGGATCCCACAGCCCATACCAGGATTTGTTGTTGTTAGGTGCCATCAAGTCGGTGCCAACTCATAGTGACCCTATGCACAACAGAACAAAACACTGCCTGGTCCTGGGCCAACCTCACAATTGTTGCCACACCTGAGCCCATTGATGCTGCTACTTTGCCAACCCATCTCGCTGGGGATCTTCCTCTTTTTCTCTGACCCTCCACCTTACCAAACATGATTACAAACACCAGGATTGCAGCCTTGGAAACTCAGTGGGGAAGTCTGACCCTGTTCTCTATGGTTGTTATGAGTTAGAATTGACTTAAGAGCAGTTGAGTTTGATTTGAGTTTAGTGTGTGATAAGGGCCAGAAAGACAAGGATGGTCAGGCTTACTCTGCAGGAGACATATGGTACCTTCAAACAACTAGATGTGCTTTTCAGCAGCTGGAGCATACAGTGTACATAAGAGTGTGGTAGGAGGTGAGGTAAGAGTGCGCTCTGGACAAGCACTTGGTTTTTATAATGAGTCACTGAGATTCATTAAGAATATTAAGCAGGACAGTGGCATGTTTGAATTTAAGTGTTAATGAGAGCACTGCACAATAGGGTAGAAGATGGAATGGAGTAAGACCAGCTAGGAACACACTTTCTATCTAGGCAAGTCATCATGAGCACCTAACCTAAGGCAGTGATACTGGGGATGAAGATTGGGCAGATCAGATGTGGGAAGTGAGAGGGCAGGAAGAGGATAGCGTTAGACTGACGCTTGGGCTCCTGGGTAGGTGATGATAGCGTTGTTTTGACTGGCACATAGAAGACAGAACCTGAATGAGAATTGTGGATATATAGATAGCAGGCTCAGGCTGGATGCACTGAGCATATTGTGTCTACAATTCATATGGAAACAAATCTAAAAGGCAGTTGGATATATTGGGTCAAAAGCTCAGGAGATCAAAGTGCTCAGAAGATACCAACTTGACCCATCTCTGCTGGGGAAGTCAGGCATGTGGGTAGGACCTCACAAAGAACCAGAACAACAGTGACCTTTACAGGCAGAGGAGTTCATGGAGTGTATTGGGAACAACTGATTAGAGGACTAGGAAGTATCTGCCTAAGATGTTGGAATCCAAATTCCTGACTGGTCAAAGTAGGAGACAAGCTTGGAACTGACACAGCACACTAACAGGGCTGAGACCTTTATCTTTACGTGTAAGCTACACATTAAAGGTTTTCGTGAATAAAACATATATATATTTATATATATACTATTGTTGTTGTTGTTGTTGTTAGGTGCCATCAAGTCGGTACCGACCCATAGCGATCTTATGCACAGCCGAATGAAACACTGCCCGATCCTGGGCCAACATCACTACTGTTGCCACGCTTGAGTCCATTGATGCTGCCACTTGGCCAATCCATCTCATTGGGGTCTTCCTCTTTTTCTCTGACCCTCCATCTTATCAAACATGATATTCTTCTCCAGTGACTGGTCCCTTCTGACAATATATATATGCCTATACACACACACACACACATACATATATATGTGTATGTATGTGTATATATATGTGTGTGTTTGTGTATACACACATATATACTATACACACACACACACCTCCCTCCCTCTCTCTCTCTCTATATATATATACACACACACACACATAAGCAATGTTAAGTTTCCCTTTCCTTGTCTTGCCTTCCCATCCAAGCAGGTTTTCAGTGAGCCATTGGGTGGTCTTGGTGTGTTAAGTAAGAGGGAGACTTGGTGAGAGGCTGGTCCTTCATGCAGTTTCAGCCTTACGTGCATGCTATGTACTGTATGTAACCACTGTGTATTTCTGTTGGCATTTGAGAACTCTGTTTGTTCTGATTCCAATACCACTCCAGGATCCGTCTGAAGAACTTGAGGTTAGGGGAGAGTGTGCAGCTGAAATGGAGAAGAGGCTTAAAAACAGCACATTTTTGCACCTTACCTGCACTTCATCAAAGAGGTTCCTCGCTTGCTGCAGTGGCAGGGGGACACTTCCGAGACCACTCATGGGTAGATAGGACACTTCCACCAGCCATTTGCGAAGTTTTTCCGCCATCTCTCGGTAGCGTTGCCACTGGCGAACCTGGCTGTCTATGATCCCACGCCTCTGCTGGGCCCTGCGGATCACGCCCTGCCATTGAATGCTGAGAAGGGACAACTTCAGGTTGAACTCATCCCTGTGGAAGGAGCAGGCCATGGTGAAAACGCTGCTGTTTGGATGCACTTACTCAATCAGCTGATGTGTACATACTCAACGACCCTGAGTGCTCTGGTGTTGTGAAGTGCTGTGGAGTCAGCCCCAACTCAAAGCAACTCTGTAGAGGGTTTCCGAGGAGTGACTGGCGAGTTTGAACCACTAACGTTGTGGTTCAAACTGACCTTGCGGCCCAGTGCTTATCCTACAGAGCCACGACAGTAACAGTATGTTGTCTGTTGTTGTTAAGTGCCGTCAAGTCAATTCCGACACACAATGACCCTGTATCGGGGTTCAGAGGAGCAGCTAGTGAGTTTGAACCACCGACCTTGTGGTCCAGTGCTTTATCTTACAGCAGTACACCAGGACTCTCTGACCCAGGGCAGCCGGTTTCAAATAGCCTGCTGCAATCTGTTAGCGGTCTACTGAAAGTAATTTTTAAAATTAATAACATAGGAACAGCTGTGTTTGCAGAGGATCAGTGTCTTTTTCTATCAGCTTAGATTAATGGTGCTGTTAGGTGGCCTTGAGTCGATGTTTGACTTACAGTGACCTCGTGGGATCCAAGTAGGACTGCCCCATAGGGCTATCTAGGCTTGGCTACCAAATGGAAGTTCTGAGATCAAACCCACTCAGTGGTTCCATGCAAGAAAGACCTGGTAATCTACAGGTGTGAAGATCACAGCCAAGAAATCCTGGGGGGCAGTTCTACTCTGTCACATGGGTTGCTATAAGTTGGGGTAGATTCGAAAGCACCCGTCAAGAGCAGCAATCTTTACGGGGGCAGACTACTAGGTCTTTCTCTGCTGAGCTTCTGGGAGGGGTCAAACCACCAACCGTTTGTTAGTAGTCAAGAGCTTACCCTTTGTGCTACAGGACAGGGAGAAGGGAGATCAGCAGGTGCTGTGTTTATGATCCTAGACACTAAACATACCCACCGCAACATGTGCAAAGGGCTTATCTAGAACCTCTGACTTCAGCTAGAGTCGTAAGTCACTCTGGATGATAAAACTGGGATGTTTTAACTAGAATCCTAAACCAAACCAAACAAACAAACTCACGTCCATCAAGTTGATGCTGACTCACAGTTATCCTAACAGGGCAGAATGACCCCATAGAGTTTTCAAGGGTGCGGTGCTGTGGGTTAATGAGCTGGACTGCAAAGTCATTTGAACCACAGGTTGGTGGTTCATGCTCACCAGCCACTCCTCAGAAGCTCTATACAGGCTTGCTGTGGGCCAGAATGGACTCAACGGCTCTTAAGAATCAACAACAACCATCTTTACAGAAGCACACAGCTATACTGTTCTCTCACAGAGCACCTGGTGGGTTTGAACTGCTGCTCAATGCTTACCCCACTTCAGTACTATAACTCCTTAAGTCCCTTAAATAAAATAATAATATTGAAAAAAAAATATATTTAAAGTGTTACTTCATAAGACTAACTCTCTGTGCATTCCCTTACAATAATCAGCAAATTATTTGACATATTAATCTGAATTTTTCATTCTACCTGTTAAGTTCACTTCCCTTTGCTGTAAAAAAAAAAAAAAAAAAAAAAAATTAGTCCTTCCTGTCTGTATAAGGTGTCTCATGTATTGAGAGAGATTAGCTTTTTCTTAGAATTTCTCTTTTTCAGGCTAAAGACTCTCAGGTCTTTTGGTATGGTCTTTCAACTTTAAAAAAAAAATGAATGGCTCTTTTTTGAGTTTTCTCAAAAAAGAGCTCAGCTTGCAGCCTTAGAAGCAGCTAGTAAAGTCAGTTCAGCATCTAACAGAATGAATTTCCTCATAGGTGACTGTACTATTCACATCTCTTAGCACTCAAGTGTAACCTTTGCATTTTCTTCATCATATTCATTTTGCTTTTCTTCCTCAGATACAGCGTTCTCACCTTTTGAGTGTGGCTTCAAATCAGGATTGGGCTTACTCCTATATTCTGAATCCTAAACTTTTGATGGACTTCTGGTGTGGAGCTGTACGATCAGCACAGGAATGTGAACCACAAGGTCAGCAGTTCAAAGCCACCAGCTAACTCCTTGAAAACTTTATACAGGGTTGCTATGAGTAGGAACTGACTCGATGGCATTTAATAACAACATACTCTTGATAACCCTCCCAGGTTATTTAGGACCACTCTTCCCTTTGATTTTGTAACCAAATTGTCATTATTCTTCAGTATTTCTTTAATGATTCAGCCCAGACAAGAAGATGAATCAATAAGCAATGTTGCAAATGCCCAAGCTAATACAACAGAAAGTGCAGAACGAAGCTCTAGTAAACCACGTCTTATGCGCATTCTTATTTTTCCACATAGATCTGCAGCACAGATTAGATTTCATGGTGACCTGTATTTTTGAACAAATATTCGAATATCTGTAATTGTTTACAGCAGACTCTACATGTGATAAGTTAGGGTCCTGAGCGTTTCCTAAAAGTTACAAGCATCTGGTAACATTAGAAAGAGACAACTACAGGCTTTGAAAACATTCCATCACACGAAGCAATCAACTAACCTCCTGTTTCTATCAAATCCATCTGACTCATGAAGACTCCATGTGTGTTCATAGGGTTGCCAATGGCTGATTTGTCTGAAGCCAACATATACCAGGCTTTTCCTCAAGTTGCCTCTGGGTAGACTCAATCTGTCAACTTTTCCATTAATGTTTTCTTCACCCAGCAACTATCTGTGTCTTCTCCCTTTGTACAATCCTGAGCTGCCTGCCAGCACAAGAATCTACTTACAACATAACATCATTCCCAGATCTAAACTTGGAGCTTTCAAAACCAAAAGTTATAAATTAACTTTTAGAATAAACCGTGCTGGTGGCTTAGGGCCTTCCTATTCTCAACATGGACTAATGGAATTTCCTGTTTTCTTTTGTTTTTTACTTATAATTTTAAAAATTCTTTACTCTCAGGTTCAACCTTCCCACTTTTATCTACTTAGTGCTTTTTCCTAAATTTCCCATTTAAAATTTAATAGATGCTGGCTTGCACATGCATTTTAAATTTCATTCTGCTTAATGACTCAAATGTTTATACTATTGTTATGGAGTTGGCGAAGGGAAAATAAAGCAAAAGATAAAAAAGTCCATTGCATTTGGATTTATTTCACATTGAAGACCTTAAAAATTCTCCGTAAAGCTCACATTTAAATTTGGCTGACTTAGAATAGAATAAATATGGTATCATATTTTATTGTTCCAAACTTAACCACAAAAGTCTCTCGTGGGCTTCTAAAGGAATAACCAGTTAAAGCTGAAAATGCTTCCAAACATTAAAAACATTTCAATAAAGTTAATTTCTTAATTTTTTTAAAAAAGGTCTCATTTTAATTACATTTGAGCCTAAACATGGAAAAATACATGCATGTCATAAAATAAGCCTGGCTTATATTCTAAATGGAGTCCCTGGGTGCTATGGGTAGTTAAGTACTTGACTATTAACCAAATGGCTGGAAGTTTGAATGCACCCAGAGGTACCTCAGAAGAAAGATCTGGTGATGATCTAGTTCCAAAGACTCAGGCATTAGAAATGCTCTGGAGGCCAGGTCTACTCTGACACACACGAAGCCAGTGTGAGTCAGACTCAACTCCATAGAAAACTAGTTTTATAACCCAAACGCCACCACCAAGAGTAGATCAGATAGAGTCAGGAAATGTAAACCTGATAGGAAATTTTCAGTTCACATGCCATAAAGCTGAAAAAGAACTAGGCTTTATATATCTGTTTGGTTTTAATAAAGATATCATTTGCTAGGGAAATTCAAAGAAAGCAGGATTTCATGATGCCATTTGACTTCAGGTAGCAAATATGAAGGTTACTGACAACCTGGTCAGGCTGGCTGCTCTAGTATAATGCTTATTAAAAACCACAACCATTGGGCTCGAGGTCAGACGTTATTGCTACTTAGTTTACAAGACCTTGGTCAACTCAGTTCATGTTACTGCGCCTCAGGTTGTCCTCACTAAGTAAGAGAGATGGGGAACAAAGTATCTGCAATTCTCTGAGGATATTAGAAGCCTCTGCTTTTACACCAATGGTATCTCAGTGGTCCGATCCATTCAGGTCCACTCAGTAATGCCAGGCCCCTCCAGATGACTGCTGAAGACTGGCTAGGTGATTTCCAATTACGCCATGGCCTTCATACAATAATAATAGCGGTTCTCAGAGGACCTCAACACTCAGTCATTTCAGCTATTCAGACTAGCTTTTCCTCCAATTACTAAGACTCCACTATCGTGCAGTTGCCTTAGGAAGATTGGCTCTATGCCCTCTAATCTGCTCATTAAAAAGAAAAGGAGTAATATACTGGAACCTTTCTTCTTAATGATATAGCAAAAATCCTACCTGTCATCAACTTGGCCTTGTTCTAGCAGACGCTGCCCATCAACGATGATCGAGTGTAAAATCTGTTGACGACTGAACATCTCCGCTTGAAACAACTGTATTTAAAAAAAGAAGCAGACACTTTAGACCTTCTAACTGTAGTCACCAGTTCTTTGATCACATTCTAGATATTCTGACTTTAGCAAGGTCATGCACAAAAATCAACACGCAAATCAGGAGATCTATAAGTTCTGCAGTACAGGAATAAGCTTATATTTTAAACAGCAATGAGATATGTTTGAGGATAATGATTTGGTTTTTTGTTTGCTAAAGCACAGTGCCTAAATGCAGAGTTAAGCTCCCCTCTTTCTTTCAAAGGCAGCTAATAGTAAAGTCAGTCAATGCCGTATTAGGGGTTTGGGAGAGTCTATATGCAGATTGTAGTTAAGGGCTGTCAAGTCGATTCTGAACCACAGCGACTCTGTAGAGGGTTTCTGAGGAGCAGCTGGTGAGCTTGAACCACCAACTTTGTGGCTCAAACTGACTTTGCAATCCATCACAGGATTGGGGCAATTTTTCGGCATAGGGAATACCTTTTAAACACTGAAGAATGATGGGAAAAAATTCCCGTACTTGTTCTGTAATTAAAAAAATTTTTTTACTCAGTTTTCAATAGAATTTAAAAAACCTACTACTGTTAAGTCAAGTCCTACTTCAAGTTGCCCTATATAATACAGACACAGAGTACAGGTGCTCCTTAGAGCTTTGGAGACTGTCAGTCCTATCAGAGCACATAGCCTCATCTTTCTCCGGTAGAGCAGCTGGTGAGCTTGAACTGACGACCTGGCAGTTAGCAGCCCAATGCTCAACTCACTGCATTACCATGACTCCTTGTCAATATAGGTAGGTTAGTAAAAATGTTTCACTATTTAAAAAAAACACACAAAAAAACCCTCAGTGGAGGGTCTTCTCAATTCTTTCCATAGTAACATTTTAACAGCTTTATTGAGCTATAATTCTATAATTCACATACCACATCCTTATAGATTTAGAGTTGTATAACCATTACCACTTGCAATTTTTAAATTCTGTACCCATTAATAATCATTTCACATTTATCCTCACTGGTAGCCTACAACCAAAACCAAACCTACTGCCATCAAATGGATTCCAATCATCCTGCAGCTCTCCTCTGCAATTCTGCAGGATGCAGGAGGATGGAACAGGATGGAGGAGAATGGAGCATGACGGAGGAGGGTGGAGGAGGATGGAACAGGATGGAGCGGGATGGAGGAGGATGGAAGAGGATGAAGGAGGATGAAGTGGATGGAGGAGGATGGAGTGGGATGGAGCAGGATGGAGGAGGATGGAGGATGACGGAGGATGACGGAGGAGGATGGAGGAGGAAGGAGCAGGATGGAGGCAGATGGAGGAGGACGGAGCAGGATGGAGAAGGAGGAGGAGGATGGAGAAGGACGGAGGAGGACGGAGGAGGACGAAGGAGGACAGAGGTGTATGGAGGAGGATGGAGAAGGATGAAGAGGATGGAGGAGGATGGAGGAAGATGGAGGAGGACGTAGGAGGATGGGGGAGGATGGAGGAGCGCTGCTTCATTGGGTTGTCAAGGCTGTAAATATTTATAGAAGTAGACTGGCTCATCTTTCTCTCACAGAGCAGCTGGTGGGTTTGAACAGCCGACTGACCATTTGGACAGCAGCCCAAAAGCTTTCTTTCCCAGTAAACAGCATTTGCCCACAATTCTGGCATGGCATATTGCAGGTTATCAAAGCCTGCTACATGTTTATACAGTGAAATTGGTGGGAGCTAGAACTCAATAAAACTGCCTTGTTTTTCTCAGTCTCACAATTTTCTGCTAGTTTTAGATGAAAATGCCTGACTTTTCTTTTCTGACAGATTTCTACCATATATACAAGTTCTGACTTTTGCAGGTTTTACTGTGACTAAGAAGTGCCGAACAGAACCACATTTTTGTAATTGAGATATCAAAGCCTTAAGCTTTAGAAAGAAGGCAAAGCTGACGATAGAATTTGAGAGGAATATGGAAAAGCTATAGCATTTCAGTTCTTCCCAAGGTTTTCTCTAAAAAGCTACTGACCTAACTTACCTCATGAGCTCTTTGCTGCTCTAGCAGATGCTGAAAGTTGCCTGAAATCTCCACTGCTAGCTTTTGTTCTGTCTGAACCAAAAATTCCATCCAGGTTTCACATTTTTCCAAGAAAGTCTGATGTTGTAACAAAAATGACTGCAGCTTACTGACAGAGCAAAGGATAAGACACTGTTATTTTATCGCTTACTCTTCTATCTCTAGCATACAAAACCAGATGAAAGAATTCTGGAACCACCACAAAGCTTTTATGTTAGGTGGTAAAATGAAAAGAAATAAAAATGTAAAACAAGGTATACTTTTTACATGTAAAATATGTTTAAGTAATAAAAATAAAATTACCCATGAACCTTTCAAAATAGTCTTACTTAAAAGAGGTTTTCCCCTTGAGTAAAATAATATTTAGTATGGTAAACATCTGAGCCCATTTATTCCATTTAAGTTTCCTACTTTTAGTTCAAATTTTGTCAGTATGATTGGAAACCCTAGAATGCGTAAGTATTAGGACTCATACTGACCTTATAGAGCACAGTAGAACTGCCCCATAGATTTTTCCAAAGCTGTAACTTTTACAAAAACAAACTACCACTCTTTCTCCCCCAGAGTCGCTCAGGGGTTTGAACCACCAATCTTTTGGTTAACCTCTGCATCACCAGGACTCCTTGTATTTGGGTTTTGGTACCTGAATCTTTCTGTCGTCTGAGAGGAGATGAGTGACCAGTGGCGATTCAGGTTCTGCATCCTTTTGATTTCCTTATCACTCAGGGGTAACCTGTACCCAAGTTCATTCAGATGGTCTAAATCGGGAGCCAGGCTGCTGAATTTTAACATCTGCCCCTGAAACCAGGATTGAGAAGACAGGTTTAGAACCCTGGGCAGAGAAGGCAGAGCTTCGTCAAGTGCATAGCTCATGTTGATTTCAGGAAGAAGCTGGTTGTCAGTTCTCCTGTGCATTTCTGGCCACCTCCTTGCACTCTTCGGAGGACCAAGAGGTCCTCCTGCTGCTGTTACAACTGTGAATACAGACAGAGATCGTCCTTCTTCGTGGAATGCTTGGCCATTTACATTTATTACCTTATTCACTACTGGTGTGGCACTGTAGGATAAGCACAGGACTGCAAACCACAAGGTTGGCAGTTCAAACCCATCAGCTGAAACCCTATGTACGGTCGCTATGAGTCAGAACCAACTCGATGATACTTAACAATAAACATTTAATTAATAGCTGTTGTTGTGCACCATCAAGTCAGTTCTGATTTACAGCAACCCTGGATAGTGTTTCACAGGCTGTAAATCTTTACAGGAGCAGAAAGCCTCATCTTTTTCCTTTGGAACAACTAGTAGGTTTGAACTGCCAGCACTGTGGTTATCAGTTCAGTGTTTATCCTACAGAATCACCAGTGCTGCACTTGTCTTAACTGTTGTTGTTGTTGTTGTTGTTGTTAAGTGCCATTGAGTCGGTTCCAAGCCATAGTGACCCTGTATAGGGTTCCCAAGGAGCAGCTGGTGAGCTTGAACCTCCAACCTTGCAGTTCAAACGGCTTTGCAGCCTGGTGCATTAACCCCACAGTGCCACACCAGGACTCCTTGCCTTGATTATGCATCAGTAATTCTTGCTGGAGTTGATAAAGTATGAGCATTGTATTACATGAACCTCTGAAACGATTGCCCTAAGATGATCTTTAAACCTAAAACCGTAACCTAAAACTATCCCAACGCCTTCTTTAAATCAAACAATAATCTGAATTAACTAGTAAAGAATGTCTGTCTTGAGCTACTATGCTCCTTCAGAGAACTTTCTTTATGGAATCCAACTGACAATAGTGAGTTGAAAGGTTAGATTGGATGCACGTAGGGGAAAGTGAGCTAATGTCAACTGGGGAGGACCCAATTGTCATGGGAGGGTGTGAATGGTCACACAATGTAAAGAATATAATCAATGTCACTGTATATTGTACCTGCAGAAATGGCTGACTTGATGTGTATATTTAAAACAACAATAATATTAAAAGATGAGCCCCTTAACAGAGAGGGAAAAGCCAGTTATGCCTGAGCTGATAAATCGCATTAATCTTATCGTAAGAACAACAGGAGTTCACTGAGAATTTCCTCAGGGAAAGAATACGCTAACATTTTCGTGCCTACTGTATTATCTTATCTGCTTTATTGCATTTTTGAGCTAGTCCACAATTCCGAACAAGGCTTTAAAAGAAAACAAGAAGGCATTCTGGTAGCTGAGGAGGATGGAGGGGGGTTGGACAGTGAACAGTGGGTGCAGAAACCCTGAATCCACAGAGAGACCCGGGGGGAATACGGGAGGGTGAGGGTAGAGATGGGGAGGACCGTTCAAGACCCGAGCAGGAGGTGATCACTGGGAGCATGGACAGAGGAGATGTCAACTGGAGGAGGCTGTGAGGTGGCTTTCAAGGACTGCTCCTGGCCTGCCTCTCTTTATGGGCTACCAAAGAAAAAGATATGGAACACATAAACATCAGTATCTTAAGCATTGACAAGCTGAAATGGACTGGTAGTGACCATTCTGAATCTGACAATCACATGGTTTGCTATGCCAGGAATGACAAAATGAAGAGGATCAGCATCACATTCATCATTAAAAAGAATATTTCAAGATCTATCTTGAAATATAATACAGTCTGTGATAGGATAACATCCATATGCCTACAAGGGAGACCAGTTAATACCACTATTATTCAAATTTACACACCAATCACTAAAGCTAGTGATGATGAAACTGAAGAATTTTAACAATTTCTTCAGTCTGAAATGGAGCAAACATGCAATCAACATTTATTGATAATTACTGGTGTTTGGAATGCAAAGGTTGGAAACAAAGAAGGATCAGTAGTTACAAAATATGGCCTTGGTGATAGGAATAATGCTAGAGATTACATGATAGAAATTTGCAAGACCAATGACTGCTTCATTGCAAATACCTTTATTACACAACATAAAAGACAACTATACCCATGGACTTCACCAGATGGAATATACAGAAATAAAAAATCTACATGGGTGGAAAGAGATGGTTGAAAAGTTCCTTATCATCAGTCAAAACAAGGTCAGTAGCAGACTGTGGAACAGATCATCAGTTGCTCATATGCGAATTTAGGGTGAAGATAAAGAAAATTAAAGCAAGTACATGAGAGCCAAAATATGACTTTGAACATATTCCAGCTGAATTTAGAGATCACCTGTGTAATGGATTTGATGCATTAGACACTAATGACCCAAAACCAGAAGAACTGTGGGATGACATCAAGAACATCATACAGGAAGAAAGTAAAAGATCATTAAGTAGATAAAAATGAAGGGGAACACCAAAATGATTGTCCTAAGAGACTCTAAAATTTGCTCTTCAGATGCTAAAGCAAATGGAAGAAACGAAGAAGTAAAAAAGGCTGAACAGAAAATTTCTTAGGGCAGTTTGAAAAGACAAAGTCAAATATTATAATGAAATGTGCAATGGCCTGAAAATAGAAAACCAAAAGGGAAGAACACATTCAGCATTTCTCAAGTCTTAACTTGCAATAGGGAAGGATTCTATGGGCAAAATATTGAACAATGCAGAAAGATCAAAAGAAGATGGAAGGAATACACAGTTACTGTACCAAAAAGAAATGGTTGATGGTCAACCATTTGAAGAGGTAGCATATGATCAAGAGCCAATGAATGGTACTGAAGGAAGAAATCCAATGTGCACTGAAGTCATTGACAAAGAACAAGGTTCTGGAAATTGATGGAATGTGAATTGAAATCTTTCAACAAACAGCATTTGAGGCTTTCACTCCTCCATGCCAAGAAATTTGGAAGGTAGCTACCTGACCAACTGATTAGAAGAGATCCTTATTTGTATCCATTCCAAAGACAGGTGACACAATGGAATGTGGAAATCATCAGACAATATCATTAATGTCACATGCAAATAAGCTTTTTTTCTAGAGGTAATTAAAAATGTTTGCAACACTACATGAATCAGGGAACTGTCAGATGTTCAAGCCAGATTTTGATGAGGATGTGGAATGAGGGATATTATTGTTGATGTCAGATGATCTTGGCTGATAGCAGAGAATACCAGAAAGATGTTTAGCTACAGTTTATTGACTAAGCAAAGACTTTTGATTGTGTGGATCATGACAAGCTATGGACAACACTGCAGAGAAAGAGTATTCCAGCACACTTAAGTATGCTCATGAGGAGCTTGTACATAGACCAAGAGGCAGTTTTCAAACAGAACAAGAGGACACTAAATGATTTAAAATCAAGAGAGTTGTGTGACAGGGTTGCATTCTTTCACTACACTTATTCAATTTGCATGCTGACCAAATAATCCAAGAAGAAAAGCATGGCATCAGGATTGAAGGAAGGCTCATTAACAACCTGAGTTATGCAGATGATCCAACCTTACTTGCTAAAAGCAAAGAGGACTTAAAATACTTTCTGATAAAGATAAAAGACCAAGTCTTCAGTATGGGTTCCATCTCAATGTAAAGAAAACAAAAATATTCACCACTGGACCAATAAATAGCATTGTGATAAACGGAAAAATATTGAAGTTGTCAAAGACTTCATTTTGTTTGGATTCACCATCAATACCCATAGAAGCAGCAGGCAAGAAATCAAATGACATGTTGCATTAGGCAAATCTGCTGCACAAGAATGAAGGAAAAGACCAAAATGGATGTCATAAGAGACTCTAAAACTTGCTCTTGAGATGCTAAAGCAAATTGAGGACAGGAAGAGGTAAAAAAGCTGAACAGAAATTTTCAAAGGGCAGTTTGAGAAGACAAAGTCAAATATTATAATAAAATGTACAATGATCTGATTTTAGAAAACCTCTTTAAGCTGTTCAAAAGCAAAGATGTCAGTTTGAGGGCTAAAGTGTGCCTGATACAGCCATGGTGTTTTCAGTAACCTCACATACATGTGAAAGTTGAACAATGATAAGGAAGACCTTAGAAAAATTGATGCATTTGAGTTATGGCGTTGGGGAAGAATATTAAAGGTATCGTGGACTGTCAGAAGAACAAACAAATTTATGTTGGAAGAAGTACAACCATAGTGCCCCTTAGAAGCCAGGATGGCCAGATTTCATCTCTCATACTTTAGACATGCTTGATAAAGCGGAGGGACAACAAAAAAGAGGAAGACCCCCAATGAGATGGATTGGTACCTTTGCAGCAACATCGGGCTCAAGTGTAACAGCCATTGTGAGGATGGCGCAGAACCGGCACTTTTATTCGTTTGTACATCGGGTTTATGAGTGGGAACTGGCTCAACGGCACTTAACAACAAACATATGGTTCACTTCTCTATGTCAGGAATTTTGAGTTTTCATTCAGGTTTTAGGATAAAAGATAGAGAACATGAAATGAAGATTCTAACATTTTTACCTTCAACTCTTCCATCCTTTCTTGGATAGTGGAGAAGTCAGACGAGTGGCTTGGGTCCTGACCTTTTAGAATTTCTTCAGCTTCCACGAGCCAAGCCTCCAAACCTTCTAAGCTCTTCGCAAAGGTTTCATAGTCAAGAACTCCAGTCTTTTTTATATTTTATATCAAATCGTCTTTCTCAAGGTGCTATTCCCCCAAAATTCAGACTACAGTAATTTGAATGTTCTTTTAATTTAATTTTCCTAAAATTTAAAATTCTTTTTATGTACTATTAATCAATATGAACTATTAATGTTAAATGCACTACTATCAAACTATGTCTGAAAACTATTCTGATTCTAACAAAAACTTAAATCATTTAAACATGAATATTAATATTAAAGCCACTATCAAACTATGTCTGAAAACTATTCTGATTCTAATAAAAACTTAAATCATTTAAATATGAATATTAATATTAAAGCCACTGAACACTTACTAACTGAACATATCTTACTCAGGCCCATGGAGGGAGACATTGGTTTAGGGAATAAATTATGTTGGAGAGAACAATGCCACACTCCCAGGTAGAAGTGCCCATTGTAACTTCTATTTGCTCTTTTAAGAATCTGACTTTCAAGTTGGTTCATGTGTTAAATTCTCAGATCTCGGAGGAGCATTATCTCAATGATAAACAGCTTCTTTGCCCGTGTTTGTGCCCAGACATGACAGCATCCCCAGTTTCTAACACCTACTGAGTATGAACTCTGTACCTGTAATATAGTCTGCTGCTTGCTAAGAGCTTGTTCGAGGGCACACAAGTGTTGGCTCAAGGAGAGTTGATCAGATTGAATGGCTGAAGCAGCAGACGTGTCCACTTGTTGCTTGAGTTGCTCTCCCAACTCATGAAGAACAAAAAGGGAATCCTTAACAGTCCCCAGTCCTTTGAGAAGATCCTACAGAAGATGAAAATACAAAAATGCCTTTCAGAAATTAACATGTCAAGTGCATTTCTTATTATAAACAGTGAAAAACAAAGGGCAAACATCTAGAAAGATTCAAATCTAGTTTGTCAAATGATTATACTAAATGATCATCTGAAGAACATATAATCAGAAATTGACGAGAGCCATGTTTGCACTTTGAAATGAACACAGATTGTCTAAAGACCTTCAAACTTAGGTCTTGATCCCAGTCTTGAAGTTGAGGAGCCCCAACAGAAAGCACAGACGTTCCTCTCAGAATTCCTTCTCCTTTCTAACACCAGACAAAGCTACCTGCTCTGGTTTGCCCAACAAACCTTCTTATCTTCAGTTAGGAAATGGTTACAGGAAGGAGAAGAGGAAACCTTTGTCTGTAGGTTATTTTCTCTGCTTGCTCTGATAAAATCAAGTTATTCTTAAATAAAGAATAAATGTTTCCCAGTTATTGAAGCCAAAGCCCTATTTGTTAGATGGCAGAACTTCCCTGGGTTGACATTAGCGGTGAACGCCTAATTGAGTGACATCGTCCCTCTCTCTCATGGCAAGTAAGAGACTAATTGAATAGCAGACAGACCACAGGCATCACTTAATCACACAAAAATAATTACACACCATGGAAAACTTGAAGAGAAATAATTATGTGCTATTGTGCATTATATAACTGGAAGCCTGAACTAAATATACATTTTATTTTGAATAGTATGTATGTGTATTAGCATCTTAAAAAATCACAGTGAACCTATGTAGTATTTATGGACTCCTGGTGTGGCATTATAAGATCAGCACCGGACTGCAAAGCACAAGGTCGACTGTTCAAACCCACCAACGGCTCCTCAGAAACGCTACACAGGGTTGTTATGAGTCGCAACAGACACAATGGCACTGAATAATTTATTGTTAAGTGCCTTCGAGTCAGTTCTGACTAAGCATAGGGTTTCCAAGGAGCGGCTGGTAGTTTGAACCAACTTCTGATTACAAAAGTTGGATATATCATTTTGATTATAAAAGCCATGTAAGTTCATTGCAAAACACTGAGAAACATACATAAACAAGGGGAAAAACCCCATTATCCTCAATAGAGCAATAATCAGAAATATTTCTATACCATTTTCTCCCACCTCTTCATGAAACTGATACTCAAGGAAAAACATAGTACTATATATTTGTTTTGATTTAATATTATTATTATATGTATAAGGAATTAGTATACTAACAATATCTTCTGTATATAGGAGGGAGCTCAAAAAGTTTGAGGGAAAATTCCAGAGTGCTTTAATTTCATTTTTCTACAAAATGTTTGAAGCTGGCTCCTCATATGGTTGAACAACTTCTGGTGTGGCTCTGTAGAACTAGCATAGGACTGTGACCCACAAGGTCAGCAGTTCAAACCTCCCAGCTGCTACTCGGAAACCCTAGATAGACTTGCTATGAGTTGGAACCGACTCAATGGTACTTAACAACAACAGCAACTTATGGTTGAATTATAGGAGCCTTTGTATAGGCACATTGCCTGTCTCAGAAAGGCTGTAGAAACCCAGTGATAATTCTGGTGAATAGAGGGTAAAGACTAGATTCTACCTTTGTTGGGACACCTCTGACATAAGCCAATGGCAATGCCCTGTGTCTGGTGCCCATCTATTCTGACTCATGGCGAGTAGAACTGTGCTCCACAGGGTTTTCAGTGGCTGATTTCTGGAAACACATCACCAGGCCTTTCTTTTGAGATACCTCAGGCTGAATTGGAACCGCCAACCATTCAGTTAAGGAGCTCTGGTAGTGTAGTAGATTACAAGTTGTACTGGTGACAGTAAGATCAGCAGTTTGAATACATCAAATGCTCCATGGGAGAAAGATGAGGTTTTCTGCTTCTGTAAAGATTTACAGTCTCGGAAACCCTATATAAGGTCACTATGAGTTGGAACTGATTTGGTGGCACACAACCACCACTGAGAAAGGATAAATGACTGACTTGTTTAGCTGGACAGAATCTTGTTCCTACTGACCTACAAAAAAGACAGGGAAGACCGAGCTAGCTATGCCTAACAAGAGATTACTGTGAGGAAGCGAAAGCCAAAGAGCTCTTTTAACCTAGACACAAAATTTCTAAAGCATTCACAGGAATAATTTGGAATTCTATACTATAAAACAGGTATGTCTCAACTAAGGAGAATTACAGAGGACAAATCTTGTAAAACAAAACATACATACATATATATATATGAAGAGAGAAAGCATTATAGTTGCTTATATATAAAAAGGAGCTCTGGTAGCGTAGTGGTTACAAAACGGGCTGCGAACCTTAAGGTCAGCGGTTCGAAACTACCAGCCGCTCCGCGGGAGAAAGATGAGGCTTTCTACTCCCGTAAAGATTTACACCCTCGGAAACCCTGTACAGGGTCGCTATGGGTCGGAACCGACTCGACGGCACTTAACAACAACAACATATTAAATATTAAACACTAGCTTTAAAATGTGCACTTGTGTGAAGGCATTAGAAATGGCTAAACTTCCATGTAATATATTTTTACATGTTGCCTGATTCTAATAAACCAATTTTGGAAAGTTTCTAAAAATACTTTTATAAAAAGGCAAATAAAGACAATGAAATGAGCCATGTGAAGGATAAACCAAGAGAAGCAAATCAAAACAACAATGAGATAGCATCTCACCCCCTAGCATTAATAGCAAAGTTCCAAAAAACAAAACAAACAGATTCTGGCGAGGGTGTGGAGCGATTGGAACCCTCCTACACTGCTGGTCCAGTCACTGTGGAAAATGCTACGGTGCTTCATCAGAAAGTTGGAAATAAAAATAGAATTTAACCTGCCAAGTCCTCTATTTGGTCTACACCCTAGAGAACTAAGAGCCGATACAGAACACCCGTGTTCATCACAGCATGATGGGAACAGGCTTAAAGACCCATCAATTGAAGAGCATTTGGCAAAATACGTTGGTACATACACTCAGTGTTGAAGAATAGCGATGAATCTGCAAAACATCTTATGACATGGATGAACCTGGAGGTCATTATGTTGAGTGCAATATGTCAATCACAAAAGGACAAATATTGCATAAGACCACTATTGTAAAAAGTCCAAAAAGTGTTTTCAAACTGAAAGAGTCATTCTTTGATGGCTACCAAAGATGGGAAGGGTGGGGAAGGTTGGTCACTGGATGGAGAGATGACATGTATAAAATCAGAATAATAAAGTAAAAACCACAATCTTGGAACTCCTATGTCTTAGAGGATCATTATGTATTGGAATGGACTTGACAATGGTTGATTTTGGTGTTTTATACCAATGCATTAAGAGGGAAAGGTTGCTTTCTTCCATGAAATTAGAATAATTACATAAAGATAGAATAATTACATAAAGATAGAAGGCATTGAACCAAAATGGGCAAAGCCTTTATTACTGCTTCTCAAAAGATATAAAATTATTCCCACCATGGTCTTTTCTTACACTGAGCATCTCAGTCAAAACTGAGAGGCTAAATCTTTCACATGGATTGTATTCCATCAGGAAAAATGGGAAAATAAGTCATCTTTTAAAATGAAGCAACAGGAAGGGACTGGTTTAATTTGATACTACAACAACTGGATTCTGGAAACATACACTAGGCTGTTAGATAGTTAAGACTTCTCCTTTTTTTGTAATTGTCTTACATATTGAGATATTCCAAAAGTGGACAGACAGCTCCACTAGCCTGAGAAACCTGTGAAGTCTAAGAATGGCATGTTGGGGACACACGGTTGCTTTAGAACGTACGTTGCTGTCTTGAATCCATGTGGCGACTTCATCATCCCCGATGTCCTTGTTGGTTACAGCCTTCAGCAGCTCATTGGTCTGCTCTTCCTGCTGCTGAAGTGTGGACGCACACTGCGTGGAGTAGTCCTTGTATCTCTGCCAGAGCTGAAGTAGGGCCTTGCTGGAGTGCAGCTGTTCGGCAATCTCTTCCAGCAAGTTGTCCCATCTGGAAGTGAGAGCCAACATGCATGAGTAGATAACCAGCTCTTGCTGAAGGGTACTGCTTAGTGTCTGATTTCCCATGATTCTCAATCACGTGGACAGGGAATCAGCACGGATTCTCATTCCCACATGACTGTATGAAGTGACATGCCACGTCCTTAATTAAAGGGCAGATCATTGAGAGGAGGGAAAGATTTGGGTACGAAACAGGAATTTTTTTTTGTTTTTGTTTTTCTAAATTGTTTCCCTTACATTTATTTATCCTGAAACTCACTTCGTGAAACTAGAAACATGAATACAGTAGAATCTGATGAAGCTCAAATTCAAAATTCCAGGAAGTTTTAATTGTATCATTATTTGTAAGAAGGTTGTAACTTAAATAATGCATAACAGTGTGAAATTGGAATCTTCCATACCTCATGTTGACTTCTTTCAGTGTACTGGAGAGAGTTTCTGTCACAGGTGGGTGACAAGCCTGTAAGAGCTGGTTGGTGACAGAGCCAAATTTCTGTAAGCTCTTTTCCTGTTTCTCCAGATCATCTTGAAGCTTCTGCCCAAGGACAAAATGGCACAGACGCCACAATAAGATCAGCACTGGACTGTCAACCACAAGGCTGGCCATTCACAGCCAACAGCTGCTTCCCAGAAACCCTATATACTGTCACTGTGAGTTGGAACTAACTCAATGACACTTCACGACAACATAGATGTTTTCATAACTATGTAGATACATGGCATTGTCCCAGTGCTTTCTAAGTTTTCTTAATGTCAACATGTCAACAAGCACTGCCATACTGTGAAAAGCCATGTGATAACCATGAAGCCTCTACTAAGTGACTACCAGAAACTAATGCAATGATTCACGCCCGGGCTGGACAGAGCCGGATGCCATGAGATTTCATCATGCTACTCCGAGTGACATGCCACTGAAAACTTATTTCTGGAATTCTCCTTTTAATATTTCTGGGTTGTAAATGACTGCAGGTAACTAAACCTGCAGATATTGAAATTTCAGATAAGGAGAATGATGGTAAAATCATTTCATAACATACATTTGCATACATATTTAATAGAATCTTAAACATCATTTCACACTATACCACAAATCCAAATGTTTGTATCCACAGACAAACTGGATTACGTAATAAGGTAAGTAGGTGAACTAAATTATCCATGGTTTCAGTTACTTGTCTGGAAATATTTAAATTTCATGCCATTATTCTGATTAGCGTGGAATATACATTTGGATGAGCAACTTCGACAGGTTAATACCAGCTGTCTCGGGTACCCTGGGCACCTGTCCTATGTATGGACTGGAAAAATCATGATAAAGGTATCCACTGAGGGTCTTGGAATGTCCCCCACAGATCAGAGGGACTACTGTAACTATTTCTAAACAATACATGCTCATACGTCATCAGATATGACGGAGCTCTTATTTGCTCATTTCTCATTTTTTTCAAATTAACAAGATTGCTATGTATGTAGTCAATTCATTTCTTACCTGAAGGTTGTCTACTTGAACCTTCACAGCTTCTAAGGAGCCAGTCAGCAGATGGAATCGGGAAAGGGAATACCTAGCTTCCATGAGGCAGCTGTTAATCTCATCAAAGGACACTTTGTAATTGTTCCACTGGTCCAGAACTGACCTCAGTAGCATCTTTAACTGCCCAGCCTTTAGGAAAAGACAAAAGCATCTCATCAGAAAACAGTCAAGATGAATACATATCCAAACAGTGGACACATTGACATTTAAGAACTCCATCAGGATTTCAAGCATTTTACATAGACAAATAGTTTCAAAAAAAAAAGGAGGTGGCGGTAACCTTGAGATTTATGCCTTTCTCAGATTTAAACATCTAGTTCAAACTCAAATACTAAAAATAGTAATTTATATACATGGACATCAAAGTGAAAAGATATTAATATATTTAATATCACAGTTTAGGAACTAGAATGAATGTTTTAAATATATTTACTGACTTGTCCCCATAACAATCATAGAGGTAAGTATATTTATTATTTCAGATGAAGAAACTGAGATTCAAAGCATTGATCAAGTTCTTGATGCCAGAATGTAGGAGACACAAATTCAAATCCAAGCAGTCTGATCCCAGGAAAGGAAGTGAGCTATAGAAGAGTATATCTCACTACGTGCTGTTGCAAAGTGCCTGGGAGTCAGTTCTGACTCATTGTGACCCTGTATTGGGTTTCCAAGGAGCATCTGGTGGGTTTGAACTGCCAATGTTGTGGTTCATGCCTCACTATATAGGAATAGCTACACTGAGATATGATGAGACTTGGTGGTTGATACATGTACACCCACATCTACATATCGGGTTGGGGGGGTTTCACAAAGTTGGTAGAAATAGTTCATTATATGTTCATTCTATTTTTCTATTAACTTTTTGAAGCTGCCTCTTCTGTTTATGGGCATAGACAACGATTCCATAGGATAAGCACTGGACTGTGAACCACAAGGTCTGCAGTTCGAGTCCACTGGCTGCTCCATGGGAGAAAGATTAGGCTTTCTGATTCAGCAAAGATTTTTAATTGGGAATTGACTGGAAGGCACTTCAAAACAACAACGACATTTATTTATAGACATAAATATAATACACCCAAAATAAAACCAACAGATATTGAGTTGATTCAGACTCACAGTGGCCCTATATGGGGTTTCTGAAGTTTAAAAATCTTTACAGGAGCGGAAAGGCTTATCTTTCTCCCACGGAGCCATGAGTAGATTAAATTACAGACCTGGTGGTTAGCAGTTCGGTGCTAATCCTGCAATGTCACCTCAGAACTCCTTAAATATACATATAGTGGTGCTGTGGCATAATGAACTGGACCACAAGCTTGGTTTGAACCACAAGGTTGGCAGTTCAAAACCCACTAGGCACACACAGGTACCAGGGGCCAGAATATGGAAGTCAGCACATAGATGTGAAAATTAAGGAAATAGGGGGGCTGTTAAAATATCTGTTTCTCCTTTGAATGATTTCTGTTTGTTTCTTTTATGGTAAGATACTTCTATGCTCAAAAACTACACACAGCCTTCAGTATGGACTGCACCTCAATGTAAAGAAAACAAAAATCCTCTCAACTCCACCAACAGACAGCATCATGGCAAATGGAGAAAACTGAAGTTGTCAAAGTCACCATTTTACTTGGATCCACAATCAGTGCTCATTCCATCAGCAGGTAAGAAGTCAAATTATGGATTGCACTGGATAAATCTGCTGCCAAAGACATCTCTACAGTGTTAAAGAGCAAAGTTGTCACTTTGAGGTCTAATTTGCCTGCCAATGGTATTTTCAATTGCCTTACATGCATCTGAAATCTGGACAATGAATGCATTTGAATTGCTGTGTTGGTGAAGACTATTGAAATTATCATAGACTGCCAAAAAAACATACAAATCAGTGTTGGAAGAAATACAGCCAGAACGCTCTTTAGAAGAGAGGACGGTGAAACTTTGTTTCCTGTGCTCTGGACATGGTATCAAGAGGGAGCAGTCTTTGGAGAAGGGCTCATGCTTGGTAACGTTGAAGGTCATGGAAAAAGAGGAAGACCCACCCAGTGAGAAGGATTGACAGGTGGTTGCAACAGAAGGCTCAACCATACCAACAACTGTTAGGGTGGTACAGGACCAGCTAGTGTTTCTGTCTGTTGTGAATCAGAGTCCACTCAAAGGTAATAACAAAGTGAATATAAGAGTACACGGACATAATGTGTTGTTGTTAAGTGCCATCAAGTCAGTTCCAACTCAGAGCGAACCTGTATAGGGTTTCTGAGGAATGGCTGGTGAGCTTGAACCACTGACCTTGAGGTTTGAATCGACATTGCAGTCCAGCGCATTAACCTGCAGCACCACAGCAGGACTCCATAATGTGTAGACTTGGTACATTACATACTCAATTACTTTAGTAAAACCAAGACCTAGAATTTGGACCATCACAACTTTAGTGTTTCTGCTGCACAAGCAACATTACCGTGTGGTCTAGATGTGCCCAGGTTTGGGCGAGTTTCCGCAGCGTGCATCTGACCACCTCAGACACTTCTTCTTTCTTGTTCTGGATCAAAGCAAATCCATTCTGTTCAATCGTCTCTACTTCTTTTTCTTTTGCTTTAATCAAATCCTCCAGATCCTGAAAGATTAAAAATAAACTCATTTTAAACTCTTCTTTTCTGGAATTCTGGGGCAAACTAAATGTTCAGCCATTATACTCATTAATTAATTAATTAATTTTTAATTTAAGGTTTTTATTATGGAATGAGTGAAAGTTTACAGGGCACATCATCAGTTTCATATTCAACCATTCATATAACTTGTTTTATTACATTGATTATAATCCCCCCATATACCATCAGTTAAAAGTATTTCTCTCTATCCACTTTAGCTTTTTAAAAAAACACACAGACAAAAAACCCACTCAGGCATATATAATAATTTACATCTCCAAAGGGCACATTCTGCAAGTCTGCTCCTGGCCACCAATTCTTGTTGTTATTAAGTGCCATCCAATCAGTTCTGACTCATACCGACCCTGTATATGCTTTCTGAGGAGCAGCTGGTGGGTTTGAACCACTGGCCTTGTAGTTCAAACTGACCTTACAGAACCAACTTGACGGCACTTAACAACAATCTTACTAAGAATAGAGCCTGTTTGGCACTGTAGGATAAGAACTGGACTACTAACCTCAAGGTTGGAAGTTCAAACCCACCAACCTTTATGGGGGATAAAGATTGGCCTTTTGGGAGTCCTGGTGTGGTGCCATAGGATAAACACTCAACATCAAGGTTGGTTTGAACCACAAGATTGGTGGTTCAAATTCATCAGCCGCTCCTCAGAAACCCTATCTATACAGGGTCGCTATGAGTCAGACTCTGGTAGCATAGTGGTTACGACTTGGGCTGCTATCCTTAGGGTCAGCAGTTCGAAACTACCAGCTGTTCCACAGAAGGAAGATGAGGCTTTCTGCTCCCGTAAAGATTTACAGCCTCAGAAACCCTGTACAGGGTCACTATGAGTCGGAACCGACTCCATGTCACATAACAGCAATAACATGAGTCAGAACTTACTCAACGGCACTTAACAACAACAATCTCACTAAAACCAACACTTAGAGGCATCTTTTAATTTTAATGGAACCATTTAAATTTAGGAAATCTGACTTTTCATCTTTCAAAGTAAAATTTTAAAACTCTGGTTTATTTGTCAATTTTAGAATTTATTGGCCTAAATTAGAAATCAGATCAGCATCTGGAAAATTGGAAACACAGAGTCTCATTGAATGCATTTTTGTGGTCTTTGGTCTTTTCCACACTCATCTTCTGATGGGAGGCATTTTTTATTTCAAGACATTTCTCCAGACAATTTTTTTGTTGTTGTTATTTGGGTTCGCCCTCAAAATTGCAGTGCATTAGCCGAGGAGTCCAGCTCCATGAACATCTGCCCTCCCTTTTCTGAACCTAAAAGCTAGGATTGAGTATTTTAGTGTGTTTTTCTTCACATTTGACCCCACAGATAAAAATGAGTAGTGGAGGGGGATAATTGCCAAAGGTCTTTGTTTTTGAAATCTAGAATCTATAAACAAGATTTGGGAAAAGGAGCTTTTCTGTGAACTTGGTCCACAGTCGAGTCTCTGTGTTTGGGGAACACTAAAAGCAAATAGACAAGGTTGACCTGTAACATGCTACATATTGATGTAAAGATTCTTATCCCAGCATTATCTACCCTTGCTCCCATTTTCTTTGTATAAACCAGAATGCTTGGTTAAAGACACTGTGTTCAAAAGTCATTGGCAAACCTTCAGAATACGGCAGCTTCACATGAATGCAGCCCCTCACCAATGGAGAAACAAGACCACACAGTGTAGTTCCTGATGTCACCAAAAGGACATCAATCTGTCACTCACGAAGTCCTTGCTCCTAAGATCTGAACGGCAGTGCCACCAAGACTCTAGTGCTTACTCCAACTCATAGGAAGCAGAGAGCAAGTTATAAAGAGCATCTTACAAATCCTGAACCTGGGCCGGTATATGGTTTCTGCAACAAGTTAGTGGTGTTAAAAAAATGATGAAAAAGCATCGGTATACAGATAGCTTACACACTGTCTACCTAAAATGGGGGCTCT